TTCTATTGTTATTTTATTCCATTATATAGTATTAAAATATTTAGACTAATTTTAATTATACCATCATTTGAAATTGCTGAATATTTTTAGTTTTTTTCTATAACTAATATTGATAAAAACGCTATATTTGGTTAAAATTATTGAACATATATTACATTAATATTAGGTTCATCATGTGTTGTAGATCTTAATTTTGTTTATAGACATTTTAAGTTAAAATTTTAACGAAATTATAAATTTAAAAAAATGATGAAATGATTGTTTTTCTTTCTACGATTTTAGTTTTTTGTTTTAGGTACATCAAAAAATATTAACTAAGAGATTTTAAACTTCTCACTTTTATGTTAATTATTATTTTCTATGCATAATACAATTTTCAAAACATTCATACAATTTTTAAGTTATTTATATTAGATCATAATTTTATTCATACCGTTTTAATAATGTACTTACATCGGTAAGTATCAACTTATAAGTTATTAACGATAATAATATTATGTAGTAGTTATAATTTATGATATATTTTTGGCAAAAATAGTTCATTATGACAATTAAATATTGTAAAATAGCCAACGTATAAACTCATAATTTTCTTAGGTTTGATTATAGGTCAATTCTCAATTCATTCGCACATTAATGTTATAACAAATTTTGTTTATCTGAATGGAAATTTGCCATTCTGTGAGTAAGTCAAAAAGGGAAAACAACATATAAAGTGTACTAATATTCTCTTAATGCGACATTGTCTTATTCATAGTTTCATTCATTAGTGGTTATTTTATTTTCGATTTTAGCTAGTACTTTTATTTTATTTTATGTTGTAATTTATTTCATTGTAGATGGGTGTGTAGGGCGATAATTTTTACACGGCTACGCCCACTATCGAGGTAATTTTGAGTCATAATAACAATGCATCAATAAAATGTGCCATAAAAATAGTTTAAATCATTAAATTTAAGCTTGAGGGAAATGTGTGGGACTTGGATAAATGTTTAAAAATAAATTTAACAGAAATATAATAAATCAAATGGTATTTGGTAAATACCAAAGTAAACTAGGTATTGTGTCAATTTAACTTAGTTCAAATTACATTTTTGATCCTCTAAGACTTATAAGACTTAAGTTTTTTTTTTGACAAGCAACCACGCCTTAGCTAAAACCCTATAAATGCCATCCATGTAAAAATTGTGTTATTAACTGTTTCAGTTTTAAAAAAAAAATAATTGGTGAATGCGTAATCATAAGCCTTGTACTGGTGTCATAAAAGACACTTAATCATATTTCAGGTAGACAGTGTTAGATAAAAAGATAAAGTAGTATATACGAGTATTCTTAATGTACAATCTTAGTAATTGTTATACCTGTAGGTAATTCGTGAAAATTTATATTAATATTAAAATACATAATATTATGAAATATGTATTTATAGTTATTTAGGCTAATGGACCGTTTTCGATCAGAATCGTTTTTCGTATACAATGAAATATCATTCAATTTAAACTTAAAATATTCATTATACTGACTTATTTAAAACTTTTTGTACAGCAGAGTAGTGCTCACTTTTAAATTATATTTGATTTCAATAATCTGCTATTTTTTAATGCGTACGTTGGTGTATATTATCAAAAAAGTATTGAATAACGTCGAATTTGAGAAACAGTCTTGAAAAATAATTTTTCTTATCCGATATTTTGTTTCATTGAAGAAAATATTTTTTGTGATTATTATTATCCAATATATTAAATAAGAAGTGATATTAAAATGTCTAGGGGAGAGCCTTATGCCCTCTAAGTCTTAATCATAGTGCGCCTATAATATATGTATAATGTATCGTTATGATATTTGTATATACATGCATTATCATAAGATATTTTGTTAATTTAAATTCACAATAAAAAAATACATTAACAAAATCAATGAGTAGTTAATATGCTAATTAGAAAATAGTAATATTTGATAAGTTATATTAATTACAATAAATAATACTTGAAAAGCTTCTTTATTAACTTTCTTTATTATTTTATTGCGTTTTAATTGATTAATTAAATATATTGATTAAAATTTATAGACTTGCTATATTAAATCATAGGATAGTATATATCGAATATTACATAGGATAATAATTATTTATAAATATTTATATAACACTTATATACCATTTATAATCAACGGTAATACTATGTTACAGTCATAATTAATAAATTAATTATTATTTTTAGAATAATTGATCATATTCTATTCAATAAATGAACGGTTGACACGTTTCAGCTAAAAATAAAATATGCTATTTAAATTCAAGTAAAATTAAAAGTTATTATTTTGGTTTTTAATTACATTTTATATTCTGAACGGAGTAATGAGTATACGTATAGGTGCTAGAAAGATGAAACTATGGTTTAACATTTTTTTTTGTGGTTGTCATGGTAATTTGAAGCAGAAAAAATACTTCCACTTTAAACTTTTAAAGTTTGGTAGGAAATTGGATCTCGGCACTTAAGTAAAAGTACACAATAATTAATAAAATAAATAAGAAACACTTAAAAAGAAATACGGAAAAACAGGAATATTTACACAATACCTACAGTTTTTGACAAAATCGATTTTATTAATTTGTTGTTATTTAAAAATAAGTAATCTTAGATAGGTACATTAATTTTTCATCAAATACCCATGTTAGAATTTTTTAGGCATGGTATTTCACCTCTATTACTAAACATTTAAAATATATAGGTTTTTTAATTCCATGTAATTATATTATTTTTTAAAGTATACAGCTTGAAATTATAATATAAGGGTTTTATAAGTTGTTCATTCAGAAAATTAAGAAAAAAATTGAAAATATCTGTGTTTTTTTTAACATTATGTTTTATATTTGACAAAATTGGATACTTTAAAGAAAATTAACAAATGGTTTTTCAATGATTTTAGTTATTTTGTTATTATTCAAAAATTATCAATCGTCTGGTCATTGGATATGAACTTTATTGTCATTAATAGGCATATAGAAAATTATAATACATAATGCAATTTTCATTGCCATTTAAATCGTATAAGTATGCAAACTTATTTACATAATTTTACTTTACTCGCCGATATTGAGTTAAATTAATTACAATACCAATTAGATTATAATAACTATTAATATTATAGGTATAGGTACGCGATGTTTTTGATAAAAGTTGAATTAGGCTAATTTATTACTAATAGAAAAATAAAATATTACTTATAACTTATAAGTGAGTACTATTATAGTTCTTTAATAGTAACACAAATAAATTATAAAATATTCTTAGAAAGGGAGGCTGACCGCTTTCGTTCTAAATTAAATTTCGGCGGAACGATTAATCATTGAATTCAAATTTAACACATCAGAACGACGCTTCCTTCTTTTTTTACTCGTACACGTGTGTCGTGTTATGATTGATGATAACAATGAATTTTGATTTATATTCTTTGATAAGTTTTTTTTTTAAAAACGTTTTATAAAAACAAAAACACTATTCAAAATAAAAAAGGGATGTAAATGTAAAAACAATTCATTTTAATTTATTTTTAAGACTATTGGTATTGATAAAGCGTGCGACTTTTATGATGAAATGATTAAATAGTATATATACGGTTTAAATTATAGAGTGCCTTTTTTTTAAAACAAATACTGTATAGTATTACGGCGGTAATGTTATTTATTAAGCAGTTTTACGTCTCAGATATATTTCACCTCTCTTCCTTCCTGCAGCCACTGTATAGCTTACGTTTATGTACTTATTAATAGTTAAAAATTTTTCATCATTTTTTCATTAACGTAAGAATTGTTTCTCATTAAAAACAATTTATCTGCGCTACATTATTTTTATAATATAAAACACTAATGAATTTATGCTTTAAAAATCTTTGTTATATGTATTTGTTCCTAAAAAAATCAACAAATATGCCCTAAAATATGCATCATTTCTTAAATAAACAATAAAAATTTACAATAACTAATTGAAAAATGTATAATAATATATATTTATTAAAATAATAATTAAGAATTTGGTAACATATAACACATAAATAATAAAGAAAAATTTAAATTATGTTTATTAAAATGAGATTAACTTATTTTTGTAATTGAAATTTATTTAAAAAAAAAAAATAAATAATAAAACCAACAACTATAACAATTTTACTACACCTAACCTATGTATTTGAATGGACGTACAACACCGACTAATTTAAGTATCATATATTCACAAATGTAGTCGGTGTGTAGATATTATTTTAGTTGATGTTTAATGAACCCAACTAATATAAATAGGGAAAACACATAGTTTAACAGTTATTTCATCCAATAACATTTTTTTAAACACAAATAATGTTAATATTATTTTATTTTTTGTTTGCCATGCTGAAGCAAGATGTAATTCTAATTTCAAAATATAATATGTGATATGCACGTGAAAAAAAGTTTAGTAGGTATACATAAAAAAAAAAAAAAAATTCTGAAACTTTTAGTATTATGAAACAATTCGATATAATATCATTAATATCATTGTTTAAATATTATCACTATATTTCATAATTTTTCCTTTAATTTCCACGGAGAGTATTTTACCGTCCTTATTTCCCGTGGTGCAGATGATATGGATTCGACGGCGTGGTAATAACCACGCGATCATACCCTTAACGCCGTCGCGTACAATATTATATACCGAGAATACATTCACATCCACACACCCACTCGACACCCGCCGCCCACTCACTATAGTCGTCTGTAGAGGGATGGTTTTTTTTTTGTTTTGTTTTTAGGCGGAGGAGTATAATGCGGTGACGAGGGCGGAGGTGGTATCGATTGTCGGCGGTGGCGGTCAGACGGTCAGGCGCGCGCGCGGCATGCCGTGTAATGCGGCGAAGGCGGCGATGTAGACGACGTTGGTGGCGGAACGGCCTCGCGTGGTGCGGGGTGGGTACGACTCGGAGACCGCGAGCGCTGCCGCTTGACGCTGCCGCCGCTTCCGCCGCCGTCAGTACCAAAGGGTAGGTTTTGACGGTTGTCTTGACACGCCGACGGCGCAGACCGACCGCCGCCGAACGCCTCCGCCGCCGACCAAAGCCGAACTTGGTCGACGTCATTCACGCCGCGCCCCCGTTGCCGCGCTTGTGTGTTTGTTAGGGGTGTGTACGCTCGTGTGTACGATCGGTCGTTCGGGGTGTACGCGCCCGTCGTTCTTTCAACACTCGATCGCCACCGACCGTATAACGATAACGATAACGGTCACTCTGACGATTACCAAAACGTGTATACAGTAATTTTTATTATTATTATTATTATTATTATTACTATTGCCGGCATACGTAATTATACTTACCGGCTGATTGTCGCTCTGCAAAACTACGTTAATTGCAAGTGTGTTATATATCATTATCATCTCACGCATTCCCTTGCGATTTTCCATTAAATTCGTCTTTACGCGTTACGTAATCACGGTCGTCTTATAACCACGTTAAACAAGCCATTTCGTCATCTCACCACCAGTACATCTCGCATACCACAAGCATCCGTGACAACGAAAGACTACGACCACAACGAGGTACGAACTTGTGAGCGTGCGGCGGTGGCACCGCCATTGGCGGTAGTAACCGCCACGTTGTACGAAAGAGTCATTGCCATTGCCGCCGCCGCCGCACACGGCAAAAATGTTCAACTTTGCCAGTAAGATGATCAACAGCCTGATGGCGGCGGGTGATGATATGGTCACGGGCACCGATTCGCAGCAGCAGCCGCAGAGCGCAGTCCACCGTCAGCAACAGCACCAGCAGCAGCAATACCAGCAGCAGCAAGACTTTGGTGGCGGACGACCCGGTGGAGGTGCGTCTACCGCGACTAGGCAGTACGGCATGAACCAGCAGTCGTCGCAGCAACAACGTAGTTTGGCCGGTGGTGGTGGGTATCCGCAGCAGTCACTGCAGCAACAGCAACTTCCGAGACAACCGTCGCAGCAGCAGCAGCAGCCACAGAGTAGACTACAGCAACAGTCACAATCACAGCCTTCCTTTTACCGACAACAGCCACCGACGCCTTTGTACACCAGTGGCAATACCGGCGGTGGAAGGTCCTTGTCCCAGTCATTGCCACATCAGCAGCAGCAGCAGCAGCAGCAACAACAACCGCAGCAGCACCAACAACAGCTACAACAGCGGCAAAGGCAACAGCAACAGCAGCAACGTTCCGGTAATGTCGGCATGGGCATGCCGGCACCATCAGCAAGTAAGTGCGATCTTTGTTATAGTATACTATAATATCATAAGGGTTTTAAGTGTTCGAGTCGTAGGGGTGATGAAGTCGATCTTTAAAAAAAATATATTTTAGTGTGTCATCCTAATATTATATCTTAATTAATTTAAGACACACAAATCTTTGGGTAAGCATATTGTTTTTACACTTTTGTATCATCCTTTTAATTTTTTCCCTACTCAAATCCTGAATAATATACACTTTCTACGTTTTTTTTTTTTTTTTGTATAATAATTCTAACGTTACATATTATTATTATTACTATATGTATATACGGCCGCCGCAATCATCAAGCTAACGTACTAATATATTATTATAGATTCTTGATCGGGGTGAATTGGGGTGGGGTCGACATGCCATACATGTTTTTGTAGTCGTTGCTACGTCTAACACTTTGCCGGAATGGGGTGAAGGTGGAGTGTACTTGCTTACGTACTACAAAACTTCGTTGTGGGTGCGTGCGTGCATAGTAGCAAGGGGGTAAGAGATAAGGGTGAGATGAATTTGGATTGAATGTGTGGTATCGTCAAACATACTCAGTACTCACCTATACATATAAAGTTCTGGCATGTGAAAGTTGGACGTGGGACTTTGACGTTGGTTCGTGCACGCGTCACTCTATGGTTCACCAATCCGTGTTATAATACAACCGTCGCGTCTATCACACACGGTTCGGCATTTTGGTATCCATACGCCCTTTCTTTAACCCTTTGTCCTTTTCTCCCCACACCAACCATCCACTTACATCACGCGACTTGTGATGATAATAAATATAGGTGTAGGTATTATACAGAGTGTACTATAACAAATGGATGGATTTGGATTAGGTGTTACTCATTGATGCTGATGGAGTAGAGGGATAAACCTGTGATAGTTGTGTTGGTAAAACAATGCAGTTTCAATTGTCATCATGTCTTGGTCTAAGGTAGTAGAAACAGTAGACTTTTTTAAAATAAGCAATCGGTCATTATGTCGTTCCACATGAGATAACTTGTGTACAAATGTTCGAAAACTTCAGAAAATATCTTACCAAGTGTATTCATGCAAATGATCATAATTTGATGGATAATGTTGTGTTCTGTACAGAATAAACTGCGTTTGTTAAAAAATCTAGCAAAAGCAATTTAGAACATTTTAATTCGAAATAGTTTTTGAATTTTTTTTGTTTTTCAAATCCATCTATTTTTTTGTAGCGAAATCTGTACATTAATATATATATATATATATTATTCCTTTCGTTGTAATTTCTGCGGGTCACACAGAACAATTCACTTACCTACCTAGAATATAGCAAACGACGATGTTATACACGACGTATATTGATGATAAAATTATGACATCGCCTCGCGCAGAGCTTTTGCCCGCAATGGTACATAAATGTTATTATCGTATGGAATTACGTGTTCGATTTAATATTCGGAGCGATGCAACACGTTGATCTAAGTGATGGCGACTTCCATCTAACACATTATAATATTATATTAAAATTTGTGGTGACTTTATATATTTATATATAAAAACCTCGAGACAAAAATGATTTTGGCTTTACTAAGTAATTTCTAAAAATTGTTATAATTTTTATATTTTGAAGATAATGCTCGTCTGCTGTTATATTATGCGGTAAATGTTATCCGTGTTATGGGTAATCATAATATTACACTGTGCAATTCGCAATTAAGGACATACTTCATACTTATTTCTAACAATAACTATTCGTCATCAAACAAATATTGTTGTTTTTAAGTTATAGTTATTAACTTTTGTTTCAATAATAATTTAAAATAAAAAAATATTGTTTATTTTTCATGTATTAATTTTATTTTTACGCAGATTTCTTTAAGTAAATAATATGGGAATAATGGGATTAAAATGGAAAATTTTATTAAAAACGAGACTAAAAGTGTGTTGTTTGAAGTTTAGGAGACATATGATATTTTAATAAATAAAATGGGATAATTTTGTGGTCACTTCAAGTTAAGGTAATTGTACACCAGTGCGTGGAATGTGGAATCGAACTGCCCAAACAGAATGAACGAAAAAAAATGTATAGTTACTGACAAAATATTTTTACGGGTTCAAAATTTCAAAAGCATTATTTGTAAACGTAATACATATTCAGAGCATTCAGTATTAAGCGAAAATAATTATTACCTTTTAGAACTATTACAAATCATTAAAGCTAATTTGTATTTTACTTCGAACTTCGAAGTTAAAATTCTTAAAACTTTATAACCTAACTATAATATTATGAAGTAAGACATGTATACGCAATGATTACTTCTAAAAACTAAATCGTCCTAATACTTACAACAGTTTTAATTTTGAATTTGAATTTAATTCCTAATATTTCGAGAATAAATGAATAAAATCGGTAAAATTTCCAAAAGTTCCGATTGAAAAATGTCGATTCTGTTTTGTTCCTAAATTGTAGTGTGCGATATCAAGAATGCAATTGCGATTTTCGAACTATAAATATGCTACTTATACTTGTCTGGCGGTCGTTAGTGTAGTATTCAGAGATTTTCTTTGAATGATATGAACATTTTAATCCAATCACCCTCGACCCAACTGTGTTATCAAACCACACCGTAATATTTCAGTTTGCGTGTCATCAATTATGATAACATTTTTAGTTTAAAATTATTATTATAAGTAATCTATTAATTAGATTTTTTAGAGTAACTTAATTGCTGTGATCACCAGTTATTGTCGCATTGTTACCAGAAGTCAAAATCGATATGTGTACACTACACGTTCCTACCTACATCATAGTAACTGTTACACATTTTTTACTTCTTTATGGCATCATAATTTGGCGTCTCATCTAATAGAAACTAAAAATGGCAGTGAATTTCGTTTGATTGTATAGTATATATTACGCATTACGACGATTGTGAATATATTATTATCGTGGTGGCGGTCGTTATATTACACATAGTTGATTATAGTATAATTATAAAGTAAATTATTATTTACAACTTGTGATTTAACAAGAATAGTTCGTGTTACGCGTAAATAGCGTATTATATCTAACCACCAAATTCGAAGTAAATGTATAGACAAGCTCGCTTTTGGTGCGGTGCGGGTAAAAGCAGCTGTAACTGCAGTAGCAGTTAATGCTGCTGTTGTGACTATTTTACGTTATAATGTGTACTCGAAAATAATGACGTATTATGATGTTGTTATTATTTTTTATAACTGAGTATATGTTTCTAGATAAAATATTGTATGGTTGTGAGTGTGCGGTTAGTCAAAGTTTTATAGAAAGTGTATTTTATTTTTTTGACAACAAACGCAAATATGTCACATAGTTTATAATATACTATATATATATAATATATATATATTGTAATAAAATAAATCATAATGTGACACGATCTATAATAGGGTTGACTCTCCTAAATCCACGTTTGTGAAAATATGTTTATTATTTAGATAATATATTTACTTAGTATTTTTTGCTTGTTTGAAAACATGCTTTTAATTAAATCTATAACGACGCTGTTCATAAATTTTATTAACACCATGTGTAATTATAATATTATATTAATATATAGCATACACTTCTTGAACTTAAATACGTGTGTATACATATATTTATAAAAAATAATTCATTGCTTAACCTTTATTAATGTCTATTTAATCTTATTCTTATATTAAAAATTAAAACAAGCATTTTAATACTTAAATAGAATATCTTGTTGTTTCTATAATGATTTATGATATGTAGTTGAAATTTGAAATAATGCAGTATTAAAAGTTTAAAAATATACATATTTAAATTGTTATTCATGAAAATAATCAATTTTGTAAATACTATAATAATACTATAATAATACAAATTTTACATTAAAACTATTTGATGTAATTTACATGGGTAATTTAATTTTTATGGGTTTAATAAACTCGCTGGAGTTAATGATATAAGATATAAAATTTATAATAGACAATGGTGCCAAACTACTAAAAATGAACTTAGGTCAAATAAAAATACAACGACCTCAAGCTTCTCATGTAGCTGGGTTTTTAGATTTTTACTTCATGAAAAACAATTTGTGAAAGTTTATTTGTTTTACTTTCAAAGAATACGATAAAATTGATATAAAATTCATCAATATTTATTATTCTCAATGAATTTGAGTATTATGTATGGAATATCTATCGAACTATAAATATATATATTATAGTAATTAAGCATACATATTGTGTAAAATCTAAATCATAATATAAACAAATTTTAATTTATCTCTCATTTTTATTAAGTAATTATACATATTCTGGTATAAAAAGCAAATTATATATTATAACTATTCGACTTTTGCGAAGTTTTTAAAATAACTACTGACCATAGGTGCTATTATAGTATTATATTGTAATTTGTAATATTAAATATTTCGTTTTATATAAACACAATTAAAATATTCGTGTATTTTTATTAATTTTTATCAATTGGACGTGACGTCTGATTTTGTCATTCGATTAAAATAAATATAGACATACCTATAAATTCATCTCTTATTGGATTAAATTGCGTTTGGGTTATTGCTGATATTGCAACAAATATAAAGTACATTGCACATCATTATATGGTGTATTATAAACTAATATTATGGGTCGAAAAGGGTGGAATAAAATAGCAATCGAAGACGTTTGAAAGAACCCCTTTGAGCATTTTGCGATAACAACCATTATCTCTTAAAAAGAACCGATATCGGTGGCGGTATATATATATAAATAAATGAAAGTGTCAAAATGTCAACGTTAACGTCGCCGTGTTTAAATCGAATAAACTGCAAAATATTACGATGGTATATAATATTATATACATATAATGTTTGTATATGAAGGACGGTATATTAATACATCGCTAGAAATATAAGAATAATGGATATCTTCAAATTTTTCATATCATCCTAAAGTTTTAAATAAAGAGAGAGGAAAAAGTAAACGAAATAAATCCATCAAAAAGACGTTGTTTATATTCGAACGCTGCTGTGATTTGATTGTACCTGTTTCAAAAGTTTTCTTTTTTGCGATAAAAAACTAATTTCTATCAATAAATTGGCTTGGTATTGTGAGGAGGGTTATTTTGTAAGTAAACTTGACATCGATTTTCTTTAAATAAAAAAAAAATTTCTCTTTAAGTAGTTTTGATATTATAACTGTCAAGATCATACGTATATAAATTTCTAATATTGTCTTCAATTTATTTTAGTAGTGAAATCGTAAACATAGGTATGTAAAAATAATCGTACACGGTAAATTTATTTTTATTATTAATTTTTTTTTTATCGAAAGATATTTTTTTACATTAATATTTTTTATATCTACTGCTAGATGTATATAAGAAGGAAATATATCTATATCTTTATATCTTATTTTCGTTTAAAACTTGTGTATCGGATATTATGATCACACAGTAATAATTTATATATAAAAAAATGCTCTAATGTAACTACTTTTTTTTATACAGAAAATGTTCTAAATGTGTTTTGAACCTAACACATATACACTCGATTATAACTTTGCTGTATAAAAAAATTGCGAAATGTTTATTTTTGATTTTTCTAATATTCTCAAATATGCATTTATATGAAGTAATTCAAAAATATGTAAAATACAATTTTTAATCATATAGTTTCTTTAAATTATGAAATATATTTATAGATTACTTAAATTATTACGACAAATATAATGACTAGCCATCAATTCTACTTTTAAGTAATTTTTAGGTAGGTACTTATTCATAAATATTACAGTTAAAAATTTGTATTTTATCCTGGAGTAATTCAATTTCTATTTTTAAGGTGATGCGATATTTATTATTTTATTATCAGGTAATTAATACATAATGTAATATGTTTAACAATAACACAACTCTAAATATGAATTGATTGGCAATAGTATAATTTATTTTTGTTAAAAAAATAATACGTAATTTATAATAAATTGTATAACTCACATGGGCACAATAATTAAAATTGATTTTTTAAATTTAATGAAAGTCTAAGAAAGCGACACTATAGCATGCGTCATCTTCGTTTTACAAATGTATAACAAAGCAAATTTTACGTTCACAATAACTCATTTTACACTGTTATTTTTAAAATCAGAGTGAATCGACGTATAAAATTTAAAGATAAGATTATTATCTAAGGCATATTCTAGGTTTTTATTGATATTTTAATTATGAAACAAGTTATGAGAAATTAAATCCTGAGCATATTTGTAAATTTTAAAATGAAATAATATGCGAATTCACTTTAATATTAAAGACAACAAAATAAATTGGAGTTATTGTAAACTATAGCATTTTTGGAAAGTATACGCTGATGACTAATTTATTTAAAGCGTTTAATATGAATATTTAACATTAAATACTATGTATTTTACTTTTTCTACTTAAAAACATTTTTTTCTGATTATCTGTGGTATTCAGTGTATATTATATAACGGATATGCGACATTTTATACGAAGATTGACATAGATCAGAGATAGGTTTAGCCGCTTATGGATTGGCAGGGTTACGAATATAAAATATTATGATAGCAACTGTTATGCATGTATACCAACTATACATGGGTATAGTGGATGTCATTGAGTCTATATAGTATATACCATATATACCACTTATACGCATTGAGGTCGGTGTCGTCATTGCATCACGACGAATGTATAATAATTTAATTATACTGTAGAAAAATAACGCCAATCGACATAGAAACGACAACAGTATTGTTGCATAATATAAATTATGATCGAGTTTGCAGCCTCACTGTCAAACGGATTTCCGCAAACAGCAAAATTCAATTATCCAAAACTTTAAATGGTCAGCTGCCGTTAAGTTATTACAATGAGGGAGGGGGAGGCAGTGGCGCAGTTAGTGTATCCCTGGGTAATAATAATCAGCAACAGCTAAATCAAGCTCCCGGCGTTATAATATGTATACCTATAATATGCAGGGCGATTCATCAAGCATGCTCACCCCATTCACTTTCATAATAATGGGTTTATTAAAATTCGGATTTAAAAATATTCCAGTTTAGTTACAAACCATATTTTAAAATTATTGGGTTTTTTAAATTTTCATCTCATTTATATGGAGTGTTCTGTGCGAACATACAAATTTATTAATTTTTTTTTAAATGGGATCCAAATTTTTTTGCTTTAATTCATTGAGCAAATTATTGACATTGATGTATATTATTAACAATTTAGAAGAGTGATTTTTAAGTTATTAAATTGTATTTATTTAGGATAATAGTCCTTAAAAATAGTTTTATGAAAATAAGTGTACATTGAAGGATCTTGTATTTATATTATATTAAATGTTGAAAGATTAATTACTTTAATTTTAAAATCACCATACCCATACCTTTCAAACCAATTGTAATGGACCTTTGTAAATAAAAGTTAAATAAATCAGATTTAATAGTTCGAATTGAGATTTAGATAGTTAGATTAAAATGTTCAAAAAAGGGCAATTATTATTTAGAAAAAAAGAAGCTGATATCGTCATGATACTCCTCAAATGGTAAAAAAAAAATCCAAGTATTTAAGTACATGGGCTTTTGAGTTGAAGCTATATTTAAAAGTTTTGAAATCAGAATTAGAATCAATTTGTTATTAATGGAAATAAAGGATGTGAGCTTGTTTGTGTGAATCACTATATATACATAAGTACATTATACCGTTATATTTTTAGTTTTCGTCTTAGTTAGATATTCGTTGATATTTGTAGCGGTTTCCTAAATTCAATTAAATTATACAAGTTAGGGAGAGGAAAGAGTATTTAGCAATTTATTTCGACGGGCGTTTGTATTTATGTTTTAAAGATTGATTGAATGTATATAGATGCGCACTTTTAAATAAGTCGACCATCGTAATATTATATTTTGTCGCTCTATGGATCTGTTGAATTTAAGTTTAATTTTCTCATGATAAATATAATTATTATATTATATAATTTAATTATTTTAATTTTAGAAATAATATAAATTGATATACGTTGTCTTGAAAATTATAAACAATTGTGGTGGCGTAGCATCGATGATGATAAAATACATATAATTTCAGTAGTTTATAGTTATGGGGCAAAGGGGCCATATCATAGTTCTTGATTAGACGTACGTTAAGCTAGCCATCTCTCATAAATTGCAACCAATTTATTAGAAAATTATCTACTGGTTTTTAGAATTTGAAAATTATTTTCTAGGTGACTATAAAATTAATATGATATACAGAAGAAGAGTAACTTTACATAGTTCCTTTTTTTTAAGTCGCTAGCTACATATAAAGAGACTACGTGAAGTTGCTTCTCTTTCAATTTTATTTTATTATATCAGACTGTAAAATAATTTTAAAAATTAATATATACATATATACATATATACATATTATATATATATATATATATATTTGTATCCCACTGTGTATAAGTAGACTTTGAGTAGTATAGGTAATTTGTGATGAACGGCAATAGAAATTATTTACATTTTATAGACTTTTTATTACTCCCCCTGTTTTTAAAAATATTCTAAAGCTTATACTATTCCTTCACTAACCAATCTTTATTGAAAATTTATTTTCACAATCAATCAAATTTATTTCCAATCCAAATCAACAATAATATAGATACATGTAAATGACGGCACGTCACTTACAGCTCGTATTTGAAGAAACACTATTATTATCCGATAAACGAGTATGGGCGTGTAACACTCAATCGCTCTATGTCACCATATTTTTGAATAACTTTTATTTTTATTGGTGTTGTCGTTGTCAATGTTACAAATCTAAATTAAAATAATTTTACATGATAATAGAATGGGTGATTTTTACTAAATAATATTTTTTAAAGAAATAGTGGTTAATCGTCTGTCAGTCAAGTGAATTCGTTTAATTACAAAAAGTTTATTTTGAATTAAAAATAACATAATTAAAAAAGTAAAAATAATACAAATTGAAAATTGTTAACATTATTTTTTTTAGAAATATGAATGTTTTTCATTGTAATTTAAAATTTTTAAGTTTCAATAATTCATTGAATTATTGATTTGTATTATAAATTTTCATTTTAAATTTTGCTGTCAAAGTTGCGAAATATTAGGCATTTTATATGAATTTAATTGTTATAACAAGCTTATAATATAATAAATTAACATTGTGAAATAAATTTTATTTAAATGGACTTTCAAAGTATGAAAATATCAATCATATCTTATAAACTAAGTAATATATAAATTTAATTTTAAACGTATTGTATAAAATCGTATTATAGTTTGTGAAATTCACATAAAATTAGATAATAACTAGATGCTTAAAATGATTTTATTTTTTATTAATAATTAATTTTACCATCTATATCAGTACTTACCGGTATGCTACAAACATCCTTATAATGTGCTACAAGCGTGGAACTGTTCCATTTTTTTTTTTTTTAATCTGGAAGCTACCAAAAAGTTTAATTATGTATGTTTAACTTTGAACAAGTATCGTAATGCACTGTGATTCCAATAAAATGTTCATTAGATACTAATTAAACTGAATCGTCTATTGAATATAATATTATAGTCGTATAGGCACTTGTAAAAGATAAAATGTTTAGTCTTTTAAAATTGGAAGAATCTTCTGATATACATGAATATTTAATGAAACGCAATCATTTATTTTTTTTAAATTTAAATTTTTAAAATTTTTATATTAAAATATGTATTTATAATTAATATTTGCTATACAATGCAGTGATTTATAACGGCAAATTCTTATGACATTTTATTTATTGAACATAAACAAATAATATACAATACATCAATTTTTTAGGAATTACGTTAATATATTACTTTTATAGTTATGCATAAATATATGATTATAATTTATTTAAGCAAAAGTGGCGGGTATAATGTATAAATTTAACAAAACTATTTATTCAGCTTTAAATTAATCGATTAAATTAACAGCTGAATGAAATTTAATATAATATGAATAGAATTTTATTTGAATGTCTGTTAAGTTTAATAATGAAAACAAAATTACACTATGCGATTGGTCGTTATCTATTTCGTGAAACAAATAAACAAGAGATACGTATTACACAGATATTGTGTATACGATATGATTGAAGTTCATGAAACTAATATCTGTTTTGTGTAAGTCACGGTTTTAGAACGTAGTACTGACATTGTCATGTTACAACGGGATATTTTATGATGTTTATTTTGTACAATTTATACATACATAATATTGTTATGTTTTATCAAAGACTAATTTTGAACAGTCGTAATTTCATAAATATAGAATACAATGTAACGTACCTAATAGCTATTTTGTATAATTGTATATATTTACTGATTTCTGCCTCCTAGAAATTATTATGTTTCACAATACCTGTCAACTGTCTATTTGGTCAAATCACCCCTGAATGTTGCGGGGAGATCGGAAACCAACGCTACTGTAAACTTTCACCGTCGTAAAGTCGTGTCATTTATACTGTAAGGTAGTTAACTATATAATGTCAGTGTGTAAAACGGGTGAGTGCGTGGCATGACGCAATTTATTTGTTTTCTACGTGGCTACTTGCCGTTATAGTGGTTACCGACGTATAATACAACAATATTATACATTATGTTCTAAGTTTACTGTATATAAACGTAGTCAAACCTTGTTAACATAATAATAAAGCCTATAGGTACATATACCCACATTATCTACCCGAAAACAACGCGATACTCTATTACGTTTAGGTACCCATCGGCGGAAATTGTTTGCTATTATTTGGTGGTTGAGGGCAAACTACATAAGATCCAGTTCAAACAATTTTATTGCGTTGTTCGAGATTCCGAAAATTTATAAATCATTTCGTATTTAACATTTTATATCTATCATACGATTTGAGTTGTCTTTTCGGAGTTGTTCTTATGTAGTAATTTAAGAATATCAAAAATACAACACAATTTTATTTGAAAAGAGTTTAAATTCAAATTTTTGGTTTTTTCACTTAAATTGTTTTTTTTTTTTTTTATCTATCTACAAAGATTTTTTGGATTCGTGCATTTCAAATCAACTATGCAGCAAAAAAAACGTTTTTTGACATCGTTTATAAAGCATTTTAAAGCAAATAGGAATATTTTTTAGTCAAAATATTTATCAATATTTCTAAGAAAATATTCTGTATACAATATGCATAAACTAGTATTTTTTTATCGAATCTTTGGACAATGTTTATATACCTAAAGGAAAATAATATTACAATTATTTTTTATTTTTTTTAACAGACTTGATTTTTAAGTCCCCTTTCTTTCGATTTTTATCAATATGTATACTGAGGTATTAGCCTCAATAATTTTGTTACACGCGATCTTGTTTAATTGATGATTTAGAAACCGGCCGCATACGATTTTTTTCGTTTGAAAAAACCATTAAATAATTAAATATTTAATAAATTATGAAAGTATTTATATTAGTGTCGTGTTTTTCTAAGAAAACCATTTCTTAATTTAATTGTTAACGTTCATAGATTATAATATTTGTCAAAAATTAGTTATTTTATGTATTATTATAATAATGAACCTGAAACTTTATTATAAATTCGTATTATAGAGATTTAGAAATAATATTATAATAATGATTAGTAGGCAATTATTAATAATACACTTATTTAATTACATTTATTTTCTATTTATATTACTCGTAAATAATACACATTTTATAAATTAAAGGTTAAAATCATACAGTTAGTTAAGAAAAAATTGTTTTGTTAATATTGATCGGCTTTCATTGTATATACTTTAAACTGTCTACCAGTCTACTAGAATTTGATCGATAGTCTTGGTTATCCAACTTCGATAGAATGTCATCAAAAATTTTTTGTCTCTATTTTTATTTTATTTTCGCATTTATTATATCTTTATATCCGTGTTTATTTCGAGAGTAAAGACATTTAATTTATCAAATTCATTTTCATGAAAAATATTATGCAACACTCTTTGCAAACATTTTTAAATATTTACTTAAAACATATTTTAAATTTAGTAGCAATAAGTATTGATTAAAATAAGTTAAAGCATTTTGTTTGAAAATAAAAACTTTGAAAAAAAATCTCTAAACGTTAGATATTATTCTCGGTTACCTGTAGTTACTACAATGTAGTAATAAAAGTGTTTTTTCGTTAGTCTTTCAAAAATATAATTAATACAGTTATAAAATTATATGAAATAAGAAATTCAAATAATGGCTTGGCAGTACAGTATATGAATGTATTCTACATAATATATAGGGTGTACTTATAATAAGAAGAATTGAGTAGCTAAATATAGTTTATTTCTGAAAGCCAAGAAACCTTAATTAATGACTTCTAGTTATATAATTGAATAAATGTAAGTTTCTACACATCACAAATAAAAGCCGCTAGGAACATATTAAATAATAAAAACCGTAAAGCAAAATTTTTTTCTTTATCTTAATATTTTCTTTAGAGATTATGTAACGTATTTTGCTAAGTATAGGTTTATATCACGATAAAATACAAAAATATATCGATATAATATACCTGTATGAAATATTCCAGGCTATTTGTATGTCTTAGATGAATGGTCAAATAAGACTTTGTATCAGGACATAATACGAGAACTTATAGTAATAGGCTAATACCTATAAAAAATATTTTAATTTTAAACATTCTCAAATAAATATGAAAGTATGTTAGATAATTTATTTGTTTCACAACAAATATCACACTAGCTATAGGATCCATAAAAAATCTATTTAAATATAATACCTATATATTTAATAATACATATTTATATATTATGATTTATTTAAATAATTGTACAAAATTTAAAAAATAAAATTGTTATACAACATAATATTAATCTAAGTTTAATTTAAAGATCTTGAGGAGGATGTTTTAGAAGGATAAGCAACCATTATAGGTTCATATTCACTTATATTTCACGAACCGCTGTAAATATAATATGTATTTTGTTAATTTTACAGATTTGGGTAAAATACTTTTAAAAAGTGTTTATAATAAATATTCGGTTACTTATAAAAAGTACTAAATAGTATCCTGAATAAAGTGATATTAATACTATAAAAGTATTTCAAATATTTTTTAAAAAAAATTTTGTTTTAATAATTACAAAAATGATATTTATTTTCTAGAATATTTGAAGTTATAGACAATTTAAAATATGTTTAATGTTTATAATATAACTGTGATCATTTATAATTTGCAACGTAACTATAAATATTAAAATAAAAAATTTAATTTTAATATTATATAAATTTTAAAAAGTATTTTAAATATAGTATTTGAAAACTTTTAATATTATTATCAGAATACAGCATCAAATAATTTTGAGAAAACAGGAAAATAAAATTATTCCAAATACTGTATATATTATTCGAAATATTATTTAAGTCCGTAAATTTGTATACTATAAACATATGAAGACAAATGACAATACTCGTAAATGTAGAACTGACAAAATATTATATACGTGTAAATTATAAGCGTATTACTTAATTATAATCGTTATTATTTAGAAATAAAACTATGATAGCCATAACTCAGAGTAATTTATTTTTACATAGGATTACATTGAAAGTTTTTAAATAAGAATAACTTGAAATTATACTTTTATAAATATTTTAACACTACATTAAACCACGCCTATATTTTATAACGGCATAGTAAGTTTAGTATAACGTATTAATGTATTCATTTAATGTCTTGTTTATGTATTGAATTCGGCGATTCACGTTCGTATTTTTTTTCGATTCTGATTTCTTTTACGCCCCGTCGAAAACGTATTACAACAAAGCCACAAAAGATAGCAATAATAATACTACAATGACTGTTACTAACAATAACATGTAATAATTGGTCGTGGGCGGTAAGGTAGGTAATAGTAAAGGAAAAATCAATGACGAAGATTGCGCTAAAGCGAAGTGCTGTATTAGTCTCTCTGTCGCTCAAACGCCCGAGGACTGCAGAGAGTACAGCACGAATAGAAAATCTGGTTATCGTGGTCGGAAAATAATACGCCGCGGGTAATTCTTTTCTAATATTATAAAGTTATCTTTTAAAAAGAATACACTATTCAGCCACATATGTCTGTACACGTGGAATTACTTTTAAATCAAGGATTTAATTCGGAAATAACTCAAAGTGATTATAGAGATTAGATGACCGTTTTACAAATACAATTTGCTTGTAGTCCGAACTAAGACCTATTATAATATAACAGTAGGTATATTCAATAACGATTGCGCATACATGATTAACTTATTTGCCCGCATAGATAAAATATTAAATACGCAGCATAATAATTTATTATTTAAATACTTTTTAATTTATTTTAATTCAAACCAGATGCATCACATGGATGAATTGCTAAATTATTCTCTTCATAAAAAAATATTATTTAACGAAATAACTTCACGTCAAACGTATTTCCAATACTTAAAATAAAATATATTTATTTATGCAGAATATTTATTCCCTAAGAATTTTGAGATTGTTCACAGGATTTTCCACGAT